ACCCCGCAAAACTGTTGGCATTTGATGATATGCTTCACTTTCTAATTCATATCTGGAACATATTCGTACACCTTTTTGGAGCGAAATAAAATATGGATTCGTTTGTAGACTATTGTAAATATTTGGGCGTCTTTGAGGAATATTCTAATGATTTAAAGTTCATTTTGCACACATCTGTTTCCATTTCACAGAAAATCCGAGTATCTCCTGCGATATTTGTGCTGTGATTTCAACCAAGCAGCAACTTTCTCTGATTTTGCATTCCTTTTGACCTTTGAGAAGCAAAGCAGCTGAAGGGGCGTTCGCAAACAAATAGTTAAATAATATATTGTCTCTTTAACCTATTTAACCTGAGCCATTGTGAGCTCTGAATAATCATCTCTCAAACTTGAGTAAACGAAGCGAAAGTGATTTTGCAAAGTTCTAAGCGAACGAAGTTGGGGAATCCCAAAAAGTTTTGGCCACAAATGCTAGCCTAAATTAAGAAAGACAGAGAGAGAGGGATAATGGGGAAGAGAGATGGCGAAACTTCCGGCAAACTTAATAAACTGTCTAAAATTTGAGATGCCTGCATGCCTGCAACAGAATTTACTTTGGCTGCCTTCCATTGTTCAGGTAAACAAAGACTTCGCCGAAAACTTTCATTTGCCGGAATTTGGTTGCCGCGTCGCTTTTGCAATATTTGTATCTATTTTCGGTCCATCTGCATCTGAAACATCTGAAAACGCTGTACGAGTGTGGTTAGGTTGAGCAACAGATTTGGGCGACGCTCATCCCATTCGTCATAAAAACAAAATTGAAAACAATGAAACGCTGAACTACTTGGATTAGACCCTCGTCTCATATTTTGTGGACTTTGGATTTTTCCGGCATTTCCTTTTTGCGGTTTCTTCTGTCCAAACACACTTTCCAGCTGGCTGCGGAAAACTTTTGCCGTAAAACTGTTCAAATATAAGTTGTTTTCGGAGGGTCTGCTGGCCCTTTCCCCATGTGAGTGTTTGTGGAAAATGGGCGAAAGTGGGTGGCCAAGAGAAAGAATGGAGAGGGGAAAAGAGACAGAAAAAGAGAAACAGCTCTGGCTGCGGTTGCTTTGGGCGCTTTTCCGCCAAGGAAATGGCGCGGGGAAAAGCGGAGGGGAATAGACGGGAAGTGCAAAGTGAAAGTTGGCCAAAGTTTTTCAATTTGTTTATGCATCCAGCACACAGATGAGTGAATTATTGCATTAGAATGATGAGTCCAGGTCCAATCCATCAAAACAAAAACCGTTTTAGTTGGTCAAACAGCATTTGAAATATTCATGCCGAAGCTTTTCTTCTAAGCCTGGATTCAAATTGGGCTTGGCATTATGACTTAGCTTGAGCATCTTTATATTTAAACTGTTACAATCTATCATGTGCAATATATTTTGGTTCCCGAGTATTGGCTTAATTTCCCCATCATTACATTGTACTTTGCAGAACGCTAATTCGAATCGTTATCCCTTTCGCTTGCCATCAATTTTGATGAATGTTTTCCACCTTTCTGCGGCGGAAAATAAAAAGCGATATTAAATAATATTGATGTTGATGGCAAATGAATAATTAATTTATTTCACGCGGCGGCTTCACTGACAAACAAAGCAGGAAGAGCGAACTGCAAATATAATGACACATAGTAGGCTGCTGTTCGCTGAATATGTGCGAATATTTTGTGTAGTATATAAACTGGCAATATTCTGCGTGTGCTTTCAAAATTATGAAATGACAGGCGGACGATGATATTTCATTTACTTTGTGCTGCTTGCTGCGGAAATGAGAAAAGTGAAAGGGAAGCAGCGGACGGTGGGTGGTTGGGAAATCGTGGAAATCGTGGAAATCGGGGGAAGCTGTATTTGTTGGCGCTCTTGTTCCGTCACCGTCACCGTCACCGTCATCGTCATCGTCATCGTCATCGTCATCGTCATCGGCCACTGACAATGATGGAGGAAGATTGATGCCTTTTCCTCGCCCCAAAATGCGCACACCGACATCCAATACACATGCACACATATGCCTAAGGCTAAGTCCCGAATAATACACGGTAAGAAAAATGGTATGCACACAGCTTGTCTCCTTACTCACACAATTATTTCACATACACTGCGTAGTCAAAGAGTTGAAGCTGTATACAAATGGAAAGATAAACTTACTTGCGACCAATTTGTTCCGCACTTTCTCCCTGTGTATGCATTAAATTTGCCAAAGTTTCGCCAATTTCCCAGTGTCATTTGAGTTGAGCGAATTGCTGCATAGTACGCGGTTCCGCAGCATCTTCCACTTTTTGTAGCGCCACCACATGATGGATGGATCAGCGGGTTTGGAAACAGTTGCCAGTAATTTTCTACTTCTTTTCACACACATGCATATGGAGCAAAGTATCTAACTCGCGCCAAAAGTTCAGATAGCCGCTCAATCAAAGCATTTCTAATTAAATAAGAGCCATTTGAAAGTTGGGAAAACACGTGGTAACATAGTATTTAAATTAGTTTGTGACTCACATTTATAAATATAAAATGGCCAGTCTCGCTTTGACCTCATTTGAAATGACTCTTTTTATTGCCAACTTTACAATTACACATAATTTATTCCATATTTAAATAGACGCACAATTTCCATGGCATGTTACTATCATTTAGTGCGTTTTAGAGGAATCCTTTTTGCTGCCACCGAACAAGTTTTTTAATTATTTAACCTGTTTTCCCCACTGACAGACGCTTAACAACTCAATTGGCGGAACTGTAAATGTGGGTCCAACTCTCCGAGCGAATTTGCTCCAATGTGCGCTTGTATTGCCTCGCACACACACACACACACACATCCTCACACACATGCACATGTACAGCCGTGACAAGGAAATGCAATTATGGAGCGAAATAAAACAATCAGTGGCAATCGCTTTGGGAAGCCTCTGGCCACTGCTTTACTGCTCCACTGCTCCACTGCTCCACTGCTCCACTGGTCCAGTGGTCCATTTGAGCAGTGGTCCGGTGCGAATTTGAGTGGCATCGAGTTGTGGAGCCCGAAGTCCTGGGACTTTCGTTGCGAGTGCAAACAGCAAGTCCGGTCCGAATGTCCTGCGGCCACGTTTTGGCTGCTCCCGAAATATTAATCACTTCAATGGCAGCGGGAATCAATAATTAAATGGCAGCGCGCGAGGGAAAGGGCAACAGCTGCTGCCACATCACACATACGCAGTGTGGGCCGTGGGAAAATGAAAACTTTCACCTCAGTCGGCCATTTGCAGGTGCACGACCGCGAAAAGTTATTAATGGTTTTTGGCGGCTTACGCAATTTGCGCTGTTATTAAAGTTGCACTGCCTTTGTGGGGCAGGAGCCGTGCGGCAAGGACACTCGACACTCGCAACATAATGTGCAGCATCTGTGCATAGCAGCATGTGTGTGTGTGTGTGTGTGTGTCTGCCAAGCAGGCTTAACTTTTCCAATGGCAAACAGACCGCACGGCCAAGGACTCGCCGCACACAAATGCAGATACAGATGCAGATACAGATACAGGATGCAGATGCAGATGCAGATGCACAGACAGAGCGGAAATATAAAGAGAGAGGAAGAGAGCGCGGAGAAACGGCCACCACAGACATGTCCTTAATGAGAATTCCTCGTTCCAATCAGTCGTAGCTTCGAAAACAATGCAACTCTCGGCAAAGAAACAGTGCGATGGAAATGTTCAGTCAATAATTAAGTACACGGCACTGAAAAGTACACTGGCATTTGTGCTCACTCGCATGGAAATTGATAGCACACAAGAAAAGCACCTAATATCGCCACAATCTCTGTAAGCTTTAAATGAAATCAGTGGACTTCCTAAGATATCCAATAACATGTTAGGCGGAGTAATGAGCTATTCGGAAAAATCGGACTCATATTGCGGAATCCATTTTGCTCTCTGTTTGCACTGACGATTCAAGTGAATTCAATGAAGTTTTGATTTCTGGCTGGGATTGCTTGCCATGCCAACAGACAGGCAGCCGGAAAACGGAAAACAGAAAAGGGAAAAGATGCGGGAAATGCGGCATTTTTGCGTTTAGCCAGGCCAAACCAACTGCACATATCTTTGGCATTCCGATGTCGGCTCGCACACAGATGGATATGTATAGTCACCCAGTCATTATTCGTTGGATTTGGCCTTGCCTTGCCCTCAACTTGTTGTTAACGCATTATTCACTTCAAACGCTATAATTCGCCCATTGTCGGATGTGCCAGGGGATTTGCATGCATGCACTCGACATCGCATTTACCTTTAAGTTGATCCCATTGAGGAGGGCTTACGGCATTTTCAGGCCAAACTCCTGAAACACTGCACGGCAGCATTGTTAACAGTTTTGTATGCCAATCACATCAAAACTGACTAATTAAGCGAGCTAAGTGCATTACAGGGGCTTACAGTTCGGCAAGTTATTGAGTAATTATAAGCCGAAATTAAGCCAAGTCCTTTAAGACACATTTGGTATTTTCACAAAATGTCCGCACACACAGACAGGCCAAAATATGTAAGCTCGTGTCATAATTGAATTTTCATTTCGGGCTTCGCAAGCGAGAAAAGCCAAGCGCCCAAACTGAATAATTAAAATAAAACGCAAATAAAAAACTCATTTTGTCGCCCAAAATGAGGTCGAACAATGTGTGCAAAGTCGCTGCGATTGAGATTGAGTCTGCGGCTTACGACTTAAGCTGCTCGAATTTACTTTATTGAAAACTCATTAAAAAGTTGTAAAAATAAAACTGCTCCCCGCGCGGCAGCCAGCCACTCAAAAGCTCATCAGTTTGGCTTTGAACTCCTCGGATTCGATTAGGTGAGCCAATGAGGGCAGAACACTCCTGACCAAATTAATATGTGGCAATCACGAATCTAGCTGGATATGTTGTGAAATCAAGCAGCAATTGCCTCATCTGATAACCTATGCTGTTCTATTTTTCGAAACTTTTCAACAGAGACAGTACAAAATTTAAAAAAAGCACATCAAAATGGATGCCAATCGAAAAGGCGCCAAGAAGAACATAGCCCAGAAGCAGGAAGCGAAAATGTTGGTCGATACAGGCGGCGGATCCGCCAGCGACAGCGATTTGAGCGACAGCGAGTTCCAAATGGTGCAATTCATAGACGATCCGAATATCCTGCGGGTGGCGATCATGGCCTCTCCCGTGGGTTAAAAGCGCTCAAAGTGCTTTAAGTGACTCATTTCTGTGTTTACCATTTAGGAGGTGACCTTGGGCTTCCTGCTGGCTGGCGTGGGCTACCAGAAGGATCGGTTTCGCAACTATATGATGGTGGAAAGCGGTGCGTATTGAGGTGCAAGTCCGCCACTGACTGATGCTCTGTTCCTTCCGCAGAAACGCCGCAGGAGGCTGTGGAGCGCTTCTTTCTCATGGTTTACCGGAGATCCAATATCGGCATTGTCATCCTCGACTACGACACGGTGAAGAGGCTGCGCAACGTGATGCAGCGGTGTCACCAGCTGCTGCCCGTCCTGGTCACAGTGCCCAACAAATCCTCGCTGACCACCTACCTGGACAAGAAGGAACGAAATCGACGGCTTCGCCAGCGGGACGCCTATTAGGATTTCGATTTAGGAATCAGTCACAAATTCGCAGCGAAGTTAGCGTAGAAATACAGTAGATAGTGCACGGAAAATGCCATTTATAAATTTGCCGCGCTGTCAAACGAATTTACTTGGAACCCTTCAACTGGGGATTTGAATAATGGATGGATCAAATAAAAGCCCATTTTCCTATATGTGTCTATTGGATTAATGAACAATTCATGAACTTTCGAGGTGCTTGAATCTGCTTAAAGTTTTAGTTTGCAAACGCGCGTTGCCTGCACTTCAATTTAGTTTAACCAAATAAAAACCAAATAGACTTTGTCCAAATAAATCGGCAATCCGACAATCGGAAACTCAGGCAGACAGCAATGTAGCATTTTAGTTGCGTTTTCAGTTTCAGCTGCTCTAGCAAATTAATTACAATTACCTTTGGATTCATTCGATTGCAGTTGAATGGCGAATGTTTTTGGCACGGCCGCAAAGCATTTTCAATGCGAATGGTTTTCCGGATTTTCCATTTGCCCGATATGCCCAAAAAAAATGAACGAAAAGAGCCTGTCAATGGCAGAGTGAGGAAAAGTTTGCCATAAATTGGGAGCAAAGTGAAACAGGCCAGCTGCCCACTTCAAAGGGGATTTCATCTGAGCATCTGACTCCCGATTCCGGATGCCAAGTGGCTCCATGGCGGAGTAGTTTCACCTGTCCCTTGCAGACGGCGAAAGTGACTGCTGGTTCTCGTCTCATCATCCTAAACGAAGTCAATCGCAATGGTCGATTAGCTATCGGGGGCATATAATTGAATCGTTGGGCAGCCAAGCAGCCGGAAAGCCCGAGTCCGGAAACCCCGAGTCCGTAATTTATGCGCATACATTCTTGCCACTGCCTTTTGCTCCGCCTTTTGCCGCCTGTGGCGAAATAAATATGAGGCAAATCGAAATCACGTATTGGCAGCGAGCCTCGGCGCAAACTGTCAGCAATTAATTTGGTTAGTCGCGCTAAAGTGAATTAGCGCCAAATCTCTGGAGCAGGACAACTGCCAGACCCTCGTCCCTGAATCGATCCGAAATCGCAACCTTAATCCGCAAAGCTGGCTGTCTGTCTGTGGAGCCTTCGATTTGTGGGCGTGAGAAAATCAAAGCGCTCTTTGAGGCCCCTTCAAAAAATAAAAGTAAAGTGAAAATGAAAATGAAAATGAGGTGCCAGACAGGCGAATTTCCTAGAAACAATCTAGGCATCAACTGGATTTCACTTGCCGAAAAGTAAAGAGTAGAGATGGATATAAAATCTGGGAATATATCACATCCTCTCGAGCTTATTGTGCAGCCCATTTCTTCCGGTGTAAGCGACTCGAGGGCAGGTGCTCAAGATGGCAGGAGTTGCGTAAATTTAATTACACTTATGCTCTTGGGCGAAGTTTGCTTGGCAGCCAACTCATGTCCTGATTTGGCAAAGTTTCCACCTCAAAGCGGCCTCCAGGCGACAGACGCCAGCGGAGTTGGGACTTTATTAAAAAGGAATTCCGATGATTGGGTTGCCAACTGGCAGGCGAGCGGAGCCTTCGTCAAATACCAGTGATTCGCTTAGGTTCAAAAGTACGACAGGCAAAGGAGAAATATTTATAATACCCTTGCTGCGAACTATATCATAAAATATATGCCACAAGTATGCACAACTTGCATTTCCACTCGTAATTGGCAGACCCTTTGCCGCACTATCTCTGTTTTGTTCTTTGCCTGGGATTTGTATATTTATTAATTTTGAATTTTCTTATTTTGCAGAGATTTTCGCCTGTGCAGAGAGATTTTCCCGTAGGCCGTACTCGGATAAAACTGCACAAAGCTTCAACTTCAATTTCATCCAACAAAGGACTCGGCTGGCAAACAAGGCTGCGTCAAAAACGTCGGGGGAAATGGGAAAGTGAAAGTCGCAGAGTAAACAATTACAGCCTTGAAATGTATATTTCAGCTACCTTTTTCCCTCTGCTACGGCCATATTCCATATTTACTTGCTACAAGCGAATGCAAAAATGGTGTGTACAAAAATAAGGAAAATAATAATATAAAAAGCAAAAACTGAACGTCTCGTCGGTAGTTCACCATTGTATTTTGTGGCCCAAACTACGTTGAATTTAATGTTGAAGTAGAATTGCGTATACGCCGTGGTATCAGTGGCAAAATAAAAACGCAAATCCAGGCAGTCAAAAAAGGGGAAATTGGGTGTGTGTGTGTGTGGCAGTGTTTCGGGGTTGCTCATCAGCTTTTTAGGCTTAGGGCTTCAGCTCACGAGTTTTCCCTGGAAATTGAAATTCTGAAACCCACACACACTCACACTTGCAGCGCCATTGATACGAATGCGGCTTAAGTGGCTGGTATTGTTTTTACATTAAAATATCATTAATTTTCACGCCTGCCTCTCCTTGCCGCGGCTCCATTTTCCCTCCCGGGCTTTTCATGCGAAACCCCCTCGTTATATGGCACCCGCCTCATAAGTGCCCGTATAAAGCCATTAACACGAGGCGTGAAATGAGCGCATATGTATGCATGATGTAGGACGAGGCCGATCCAGATGGAGCAATGTCTGCTCTGGTCTCAGGATTTGGGAGGACAGAAGTGCTAACTCTTACAATACTTCCATTGTACTGCCACTGGGGCAATCGAGGTTAGATCTGCTTAAAATATTTGGGTGCCCACTGCTAGCAACTTCATAATTGGCTTCGAGATTCCACAAACTCATGCTGCTTTAAATAGCTATTCAGCGGTTTCCATGCCACTCAGTGCCACTTCTTCGATTACATTACACATTTGCGCGCTTGAGTGACAAATATGCCATGCCACCTAATTCCCAAAAAGAGGAAAAATAAAGAAGACTCCAGTCAGCTTCTAATGGAGCTGACCGGATAACGTGTGCTGGTCCAGTAGCCATTTCAAGCCTGTCCAAAAAAGGCGAAAAAACACTGAAATTGAGAGCCTTTAAATGCCGCACAGATAAGCTGATGCACACACACACGCACACACATTCTAGCTGAATAAGCGTGGCAACAGCCCATGGCCCAATAAAAAATCAAAAGGAATAAGTTGTTAATATTTTTTCGATTTGTTTTCGCTCTGGCTGTGTGTTATTTGCTGTGCGTGTGTGCTGCCTAAGCTGCCAATAATGACAAGCACACATACAGACACAGGACACACACGCACACACACACACACACTGGCAGCTGGCACAATTGGCTCTAAAGCTGTGCGACGTCTGAGTGCCTGGATACAGTGTCATGCGTGGGAGGTCCTGTGCCGCTCCTGCACTCCCCGCTCTTCGTCCTTTTTATCGCCTCCTCCTCGCCTGGCTTACACGCTCGGTTGCCTGCCGCACCAACACACGCACACACACACACGCACACGCACACAGTCGCAGTTACACACACACACATCCCGCTTACCTGTCAATGTTGGCATTAAAATTTGCCTTTCGTATAACAACCCACAGGCGGAACATCCGAGGGCCATGGGTGCGTGCAGAGAGGAAAAATAGAATAAAAGTCTAGTTGCTCGATCTATTACATTAGCACTTATCTGCATAACTGTGTTTAAGCGTAGCTTATCAGCTCTCAAATTCAAGATTTTGCCACTAATGCATCACATGCGTATTCCTTTGCTTTCAGAAATAAATGGCTTCCTGTTTCTTGCCGTGTGGGGAAGCAACTTCGGTGACCCGGAGAGAAGCATGTTAACAAGCGGGGTCAGGTGAGTGGGACGGATTTCTGACAACCTCGCATTTTGGACCACATCCTCCTTTTCGCCCGGTGTCTTTTTGTTTTCTATGGAGGAGTCGTGTTGGTACTGTTTTTGCGTTGACGCGATTTTCAACATGAGTTGAGGCGAATTGAATCAGCGGGGTGGGAGGAGGGGCATGTGGGCACGTGGAAGTGGGTTGCCCTCGATCAATCACCAAAGAGCCATCTGAATCACCTGAACCACCCGAAGCCCATCCAGGTAACCACTGTGGACCCGTTAAAGAGCCGCAATTTGTGTGAGCTTAATTTGCCGCTCACCTCGCACTTTTCCATTTTTCCCATTTTTCAGACCGTCATTTGTGTGTGTTGACCTTTTTAATTAGCGAACAAAACCGAGTTTTTCCTTCTTTTTTTTGTTGTACTTCCAGCCCGTTGGGCGCAAGGAAAAACATTGCTCAAAGTCGAACAAAGCGGCGGCAGCCATTTAAAACAAACTAAAAGTTTCATAATTAAGTTGGGCAAAAAATGAAAAATGTGGCTAAAACGGCAATCGCATTCCGCAGCAAAGTATGCAACGCTTTCGTCAAATCACATTATCCTGTGTGCCACACACAATTGTTACATTCCGTGAATAAACAGTTGCAAACAGCAACTTGTTATCGCTGCCCTTTTAATTGCATGGAAGTTAATGGCGGTGCAAATAATTTACACATGCAAAATACAAAGTATATACAAAATGTATTGTTATTGACTGTGATATTATCATGGCCACTTTCTAAAACTTTCAGGCTTGAATACAGGTCGAAAGCAAATTTCGTTGCGATTCACAGAGGTATAAAATTATAATTTTGGAAAATTATTTATTTCGCTCCATCAAAAAACAGCGAAATACAAAATGTGGCCAAAAATTCGGATATTTTCAAAGGGCTTTTCCTCCAAAACTTGGCCCAAAAAGGTGGCGCAGCTAAAATGAAGACTGTTTTGCACGGCTAATGAGCTCTGATGAGTTTCGGAAATGCAATTTTCGCATTTCTGATCACAGCTCGCCCATTTTGGCCTTGTTGCATATCCGATTGCAACTTCCCGTTGATGAGGCACTAACTGTTGGCCTGTTTTTGATGTCAGTAAACAGATCCGAGCAGCCACTTTGCTTCTTGTTATCGCTGGCATTCGATCCTGGGCACTCCGACTCCGACTCCGACCCCGACCCCGACCTCTGAACTGTGAACTGTGAACTGTGAACTCTCGGCTCGGCTCGGCTTGGTTTCATATTGCTGTCACAATTTCTGCCATGGCATGGCACGTTATGCAAATATCAGCGCAGAAGCCACTTGATGGAGGCCAGAAAAGAGCAACTATATTGCCATATATCCATATAGCCACATGGCCAGCGACAACAAAAGCAGAAAGGGAAACATGTACGGGAAATATGTACGAGCTGAAGCTGATC